TCCAGCTCCAGGTTGAGCTGTCATTCAGCATCTTAGCTGTGGAGGGCAGTGTCACTGGCCCTCATATGTGGGATCCGAACCGGGGTCCTCTGGCGTCCCAAGCCAGTTCTTAACCATCGCGCACTCGGCCGGCCCCGGAACCTTCTTATCTGAAGCCCAGATGTCTCCATAGCTGCTTTTGGCATGGGGGATGAGGAAGTTTTGATAAGAGTAGGGTCCCTGGGGATGGCCAGGAGCTTGGATGCCTGGCAGCTGTGTGTGCACATTTTGTGATGGTGGTGGGGTGTGTCACTCCGTGTGTGTGTGTGTGTGTGTCTGTGTGTGTATTGTACTTTTTATCAGCTCTGCACCATTTCCCATTGCTTATCTTTAAATGATTTTTCTCTGTGGATTTCATAGGATGGTGGAGAGAGGGCAAGACATCAGAAGCCAAGAGAGAAGACAGAAAGCCTGAGAAAGCTTGCAAAGACATGCATGTAGATGCATAGTGAGGAGAACAAAGGAAAGAGGGAGCCGCAGAAAAGAGAAAGAAGAAGGCAGCATGGCATAATCATGTGGAGAGATGAGAGCTCAAATAACTAGCTTTGGAATGAGGCGAGCTGTTGGTGGGAGTGAAATGGGACACTGGGGCTTTAAAATTAATTGGATCTGAGTGATCAATTTATCAAGGGCTTTAGCAGAAGGAGGGAGATGAGGTGTGGGTAAGAGAAAAAGAACAGGAGAGACAAAGGCATATTAAACATATTGAGAGATGTAATTCATCCTAACAGATGAAAGAAAATCAGTTATCTAGGTGTCCCAATGATGCAGGAAATGTGCAATAAAAGAAAAAATCTTAGCAAACTGAAACTAGAAGTGGATCTCCTTAACTTGATTTTTCTGTTAAAAATCTACAGGAGATATCATATTTAATGGTGAATATTGAAATGTTTGCTTTAAGATGGGGAACAAGGCAAGGATGCCTGTTATGGTGTCTGGGATCATACTGATGGCCCTGGCCTGTGCAACAAGGAAGGAAAAAGCAATGAACAGTTCAAGGACTGGAAAGGAAGAAATGAAAGTGTCTTTATTTACAGATGTTATCATTAGATACAATGCAAACCCCGGAGGATCTGCAGATATAATTATTGGATTTATAAAAGGTCGAGAAAGCTTATGAGATGCTGAAGTCAATTGGAGTCTACGCTCCCATAAACGAAAAATGTAATCTTAAGAAAAAAACATTTATCCATAGCATGAAATGTACAAAGCATCTATGTACCCTATCACTTCTTGTAAGATGTTAACATTAGGGGAAGCTGGTTAAAGGGTACAGGAATGCTCTATCCCTTTACAGTTCTGTAACTTCAACTTTTCTGGATATCTAAAATTTTTCCAAAATAAACAGGTTATTTGAACAATTAAGAGTTCTGTTCAGAAAATAACACAATAAATAGAATGAAAACCAGCCACAAAATTGAAGATTTTTTTTACAACGCATGAAACCAACAAAAGATTTGTATCTAATATGGATAAATAACTACAAAATCAATAGGAAAAGAGTCAACTTTTAAAAAATGGATTAAAGACTTGAACCGGCATTTCGCCCTAATAAGAAACCAATAACCACATAAAATGTTCTATCTCATGAACAATCAGAGAGCAAATCAAAACCAAATGGGGCACCACTTCACCCCACTTTACTTTGGCACAATTGAAAAACCTGGACAATTCAAAGTGTTGGCAAGGATGTGGAGCAACCAAATGCTTATATGGTTCTGGTTCAGTGTAAACTGCTGGTGCAACATGTAAACTGCTGGAGCAACAAGATGTTATCTTGTGAAGCTGAGCATGTGGGTGTCCTAAGATCAGCCACCCTTACCCATGTAAACCCAGCCTATATTTCTGAGAATGGCCCTAAGAGCTTTGTAATAAACTCAAAGTGGAAACGACCTTAATGTCCACCAACTGGAGAATAAATAACCAATGGTGTACGCCAAAGGAACACTATATGGCAGTCAAAAATGCATGCATTACACCTACGGCTTCTGGCACTGTTCTAGGCACTGGAGATACACGGTGAACAAGTGTGCAGGGCACTGGCCCACGTGTAACTGCCCAGCTAGATGTGTGGGGAGGGGTGGTGAGCAGAACTGTGTCAAGATCAGGGCTCAACCAGAGGAAGAGTTAGGGTCTGGTGGCATCCAGAGAAGCAGATTAAAGGCTCAGTTTTGGGGAGTTAAGGAAGTCTTCCTGGTGGAGGATATGTTTGAACTGGTTACTGATGGATGAATAGGAGTTTGCCAGTTACACAAGGGAGTGCAAGGATGGGATCCAGTCTGAGTATGTGCAAAGATCCACAGGCTGGGTGTCTTAAGAGAGAGTGAAACAGAGACACACAGAGATACATAGACAGGCCATGGCAGAGACACAGAGAGACTGGACGGAGAGAGGCTCAGGGGGAGGCACATGACAGAGAGAGACAGGGATACAAAGATTTAGAGGAACAGAGAGACAAAAATATAGAGAAACACAGGCAAAGAGACAGAGATGTAGAGACAGAGGGAAAGAGATACTCAGGGAGAGTAGAGAGGCAGTTAAGGACTCAATAGAGAGCCAGTGGGCCCACAGAACGACTCAAGGAGAGACATAAATACGCAGAGCCGGAAGGGAATCTGAGGGGGAGGGGGAAGAAGGGGCGCCGTTAATCACTCTGGTCCGGGAGCCCTCACGGGCTCCCGCCCTTTAAAGCTTCCCTCAAACCCAGCCCGCCGCGCCCCCGCCAAATCAGGCGTCCCCAGGCTCCGCCTGCTGGCTCTACGTCAGCGACACGTCAGGAGCTGTCCGAGGCCCCGGTGCTGAACCAAGATGGCCGGTGGCGGAGGCCGGGCCCCGGCGTGAGCCGAGCGCGGGCTACAGCCCCGGCCATGCCCCAGCCCAGTGGCAGCTGAGCCCAACCTGACGGAGCCGGCCCGCCGGCGACCCCGGAGACATGTCTCTACTTTGCGTTGGAGGTAGGAGGCGAGGCTGCAGGGCGGGAACCGGTGTGGACCCGGACTAGTCTCGGGGTCCGTGTGGATGCGGCTGGGCTCCTGGGGGGTGGGAGGGAGGTGAGCTAAGTACACGCGGCTGGACTTTTGAAGGTGTAGCCCTTGTAGACGCCTCAGGGCGCCTGATCTGTGTAGACGCAGCTGGGCTCTCAGGGGCTCCTGGTGGTCGCTGCTGGGGGTCATGTGGCCATGGCTGAACGCGGAGGCCCGTGTGGACATCAGTAGGGACCTGGAGTTCTATCTTGAAATGGTCTAGACTAGGGCATCTGTGTAGACCAAGTTATTAGGGGGCCTGTGTGGAATGGGGCTGGGCTAGATAGTTCGAATGAATGCTGCGGGGTACTTGGAAGGAGTCCCATGTTGTGGGCTGGGCTGCGGGTCCTCACGGACGCCGACTGGGCTCGGAATTCGAAGAGCAGTGCGGGAGGAGTCTCCAAGGCCCCATCGTGTAAGATTTGGGTAAGGGGGCTCGGCTATCATTAAACTGCGAGCTCTAGGAATCCTCCAGCCCTGGGTGTGGAGAGGACTGGGAAGGGGGATGGGGAGACCCCTCCCCACGTCCTGAGAGGTCTGTCATTGGGGGTCTGGGGGCGCTTTTCCGGTTAACTCTTTGGCTTCCCGAGTCGGGGGCTGAGGGAATCGCCTGAGGGCCTCCCCCTCCCTGCCCCCTCCAGCATTCCGGAACCCGTATCAGGCCTTCTCCGCAGGGAGCCGACCCCTTGTAGGTGCAATGCCCCGCCCCATGCATCCCTTCTGGCCCATCTTCACTTCACCCACTTTGCGCCTAAGGGAGGGAGGGAGAGATGGGGTGGAGCTATTTTGGGGCCAGAACGCCATCTGTACTGAGGCCCACGCCCAGGCCTACACTTTGCACTGGGGTGAGGGGGGAGAGAGAGAGACGCGGGAGGGGCATGGCCGCCCCCTACCTCTGAGGCTGGGTGGGGGAGAAGCCAGCCCACTAGGACCTAGGCATCCCGGACACTCCTGCCGAGAACTCAGGCTCTGGGAGACCTTGGGCGGCAGGGGTGGTAGCGAACAGGGGCTCCAGGCTTATAGAGGTCTCAACCTTGGGTTTTAAGGACCCCCCTCAACCCTACTTCTTTCAAGAAGGCTGGGGTGCGGGGAGAGGTGTGTCAGCCAAGTCTAAGATGTCAGGCTTCGGGAGACCTTAGGCAACGGGGAGTGTGCATGCGTGTGTGTGTGTGTGTGTGTGTGTGTGTGTGTGTGTGTGTGTGAGAGAGAGAGAGAGAGAGAGAGAGAGAGAGAGAGAGAGAGAGAGGAGAGACTTAACCTTAGTCTCCGCCTGGACCCCGAAGGGGTCCGCCTGGACCCCAAAGGGCAAGCCTGGGAGCCGGGAACCTCCCCACTGCCCCCGCTGCCCTTCCCCTTCCTTTTCCTCCCCCTTCCCCTCCCCCTCTGCTGCTCCATTCACAAACCCAGCCCCGCCTGCCCGCTCCCCGCCTCAGAGCTCCCGGTGAGCAGATCGCGCAGGGCTGGGCCGGCGTAGACACGGGTGTTCTTAAAGGGACAGTGGTCTCCTTTCCCTGAACTCGTTCCTGACGGGCGGGGCTGGTGGTGGCAGAAGGGCCCATAAGATCAAAAGTCTACACATCCATCCCCTAGCCTTTGAAATTAAGGGGAGTGGGGAGGTGGAGGGGACCCCCATGCAACCGCCACGGACTAGGCCTAAGGGGAGAGAGGGAGGTGAAGGTCCAAGTCCCCCACTGGCCTCTCTCCCTTCCTCTAAGTTGCTTAGCACTTGAGGGGAGGTGGGATGAGGGTGAGGAGGTTGGTGGGTTAGGGCTAGCACTGGAAGAGGGGGCAAATGTGGGTGTTCCTGGCTGACTCTGTGCTCCTCCCACCCCACCCCACCCCACCCCACCCTGCCTCACATTTTCCCGAGTTCGGTTCCTCTGGAAGGCTTGCCTAGTTTCGGAGGAGGCGGGGGAGAATCTCACCCTTAACTCTGACGCAAACAGGAGGCGGGGACGCGGGGGTGGTGTGAAGGAGGGGCGATAAGAAGGGCGAGGCTCCCTGACACGGAGGCCTGGGATAAGAATTGTGTTGGACGATTCTATGAAACGACAAGGGAGGGAGTCACCAGCTGAGTGAAGGGGGGTCGTTGGGAGGGGCAAGGCTGCGGGTGAGGTGGAGGGTAAAGTCCTGAGGTGTAAGGGAAGCATACAATGCTTGAGGGGGAGACTGGGAACGCTGGTAGGGGAGGGGGTACTTGAGGGAGGCCAGGAGGGGGGAGAATGTAAGGGGGAGGGGGCAGGACAGCAGTAGAGCTGGAGTGGGAGGGCTTTCCAAGGGTCTCAGTTCATCCTTGGGGTTGAGGAAATACCTGGCTGCCCATCCAGGGACCCACTCACGTGTGCCCATCCCTGCATACATATGAGCTGTCACCTTCATACCCAGACTTGCCCTGTGTGGACAGAAATGCTCAGAATCCACATGTGCCTATGAAGATCATGTGCCTATGAATGCACACACATGGACACGTGCACGTTCACACACATGTATAAAGGACACAGTCTGCCACCACAGGCATGGTCCCTAAAATACAGGTGTGTGTGTCTGCACATGCAAACACACATGTATCCACAGGTGTTTGATGTGTGTTCATAATATCCATGTTTCATCAAGATCTGCTCGTGCCCTAACATGCAGGCATGTACCCATATATACTTTCTAGGGCCCCAAATCTTGAAGAAACACATGTGTACACAGAAGCACATGCCAAGGCATGTGTGTATACATATGGCAATACTTGTCTGAACACTCACAGCAGTCCCTTTAAACAGGTGAATGATGATGCATATAGGCACACGCTTACAAGTATTATATAGCTTCACACAAGTGTGTAAATGCATGCCAATAAAATACACATGCCATAGAACTGCATCACTTACACACACACACACACACACACACACCATGTGTTTCTACCTAACATATCACCTGCAAGCCCACATGTACCTTGCTCACACATACCAGCATGTCTCACATGGAGTCACACCCTACTCCCCAGTGCAGACCCTCACCTGCATTCAGATACTGCACATGTGCCTCCACGCATATACACACACATTCATGTACATACACCTGCCTGCCCTGGTAACACAAGCAAATGCACACGCTAACCTACGTAATTGCAAGCTTATCTCACACCAGCATGTGGGAGACCACCCTGTACAGGCCTTGCCTTTGCCCCCTCTCATTTTTTATTTATGTGGAGTTCTATTGCTACCCCCACCCCAGTCCATTTGTTAGTTCTTAGCAGAGTCCGGAGTCTGAGAATACGAAGTGCCACCTGGTTCCCTCATGCATTCATTCATATATTTACTCAGCAAGGATTAATTGAGCAGACACTATTGCTGGCTCTGGGGACCCAGCCCTACTCCTGGCCTCATGCTGGTGGGGTCAGAGTGGGAGGGACAGGGAAGGGCTGAGGGAGCCTGGGAGAGGGGCATGCAGGGCTCTTCCTCTGGGGAGCCTGCCCTGATCTCCCCATCACCATCTGCCTGGGTCTCAGAAGGTGAGGGGGAGCTAAGCAGAAGGGAGATGGTGCTGCTCTAGGTGGTGGGACCAACACGTGCAAAATCATGGTGGTGGGGATTTAGTTCTAGACCTTCCTTCCTATGTGCCTCACAGCATTTTGCCAGGCCGCTCAGTGTTTTAAAGGCTCCATAAATATTTGATGAATGAATTTTGGGTACAAATTAGCAAATGCGTGTGAGGGTGAGTTTGCCTCACAACTAATAATAATGTCAACAAGAAACACCATTTTTCCGGCGTTCTACAGACAATGTTGAGGACTTTTATGCTCATTGCCCTCTTTAATCATCACAGTGACTCATTTTACAGATGAGGAAAACTGAGGCTCGGGGAGGTTTAACAACTTGCCTGGTGTCACAGAGTCAGAGGTGTAGCTGTTTGATTCTACAGCCTACTCGGAATGGGGGTGAAGGTTGAGCCTCCTCTCAACCCCTAGGCCCTGGGAGGCACCCAAGTCCCTTCCATGGAGTGAGAATCTGTCCAGAAATTGCCTTCTTTCTTCATCCACTCAGTAAGCAAACATGTCATGATCTCCCCACTCATCATGGCTGTTCCCCTGCCCCTCTCCAAAGAAACCTTCACAATCCCTCTGCCCCTGGTTTCCCTGTTTCTGATACCACCCAGCCAGGAGGGATGTGCATCTAGGTCTTTGCTGTCACCATCCTCATAGGATGCCCTTCAGGGTTGGCTCCGATTCATCTTTAGGGCTGCCATGTTAGCCGCTTCCATAACCTGGACCTCACTTCCCTCCCACATACAAGGTGCCAACCAGGACATCCTGAGCAGGTCGGGGTTTGACTCCCTAAATCCATCCCTTCCTGGCAAGTCCCATACCTGCTCCATTCCTCAATGTGCCCATCTGTAAAATGGGCACACTAGTAGCAACCACTGCCTAGGTTTGCTGGAATTCTCCAGTGAGATGAGGCATGCAGAGCCGTTGACACGATGCTTAGTCTGTGAAAAGGTTCAGTAAGTGTGAGTCAAAGACAGGAAAAATCAATGATGGTGTTTTTATTAATGAGGCCTAAAAGCTTTCTTGAAGGGGGTCCATATGTGTAGGACATTTCCTGAGAGCTCACTGTGTTCTCAGGCCTGTGTACTCCTGAGGGCTCAGGAGTACAGGTGGCAAAAGAGGTGAGGTTCGGCTCACACATACCAGAATGTCCCACATACAGTCACACACCCTACTCCCCAGCATGTTAGGGCAGGGAGGCAAGTTTAGCACCATAGACAGCTCAGGGAACAACTGGTTCAGTGCTGTGACAGAATGTGGGAGGAGGGGCGTAGCTAGTTCTGAACCATGGACAGAGCCTGCACCATAAGGCCGGGGTCTGGGGGGGCGGGGCTACTGGAGCAGGAAATGACGTCATCCCTTCATTTAACACTATTTAATGAGCACGTGCTATATACCAGGCCTAGTTCTGAGTGGTACCTGGTAAATAACACAGACATTTTTGTCAAGGTTTTTTTTTTTTTAAGATTTTATTGGGGAATTGAGGGAGGGGAACAGTGCTGGCAGATGGGGGGGAAGGGGAACAGACAAGTTGCTGTCCTTTTGTTCTTCAGTCTAGTTGTAGAGGATGTTGCTTCACTGGCCCATGTTGGTATTATCATTGCGCTCTTCCTGGGTGAGGCAGATCGGTCGCCAGTCTCTGGATGACCGCTCACGGCGGCTTTTGGCAGCTCACACCGGCTGCCAGACGCTCACGCTGGCTGCCAGCCACACACAGTAGCTTATGGCAGCCCACTGCAGCAGGGGCTGCAGCCTGTGCTGTTGCCTGCAACTCACAGCAGCCCAGCTCCAGGTCGAGTTGTTGTTCACCATCTTAGCTGTAGAGGGCACAGCGTCACTGGCCCTCATATGGGATCCAAACCGGGGCCCTGCTGCTCAGAGCTGGTGTCCCAATCCAGCTCTTAACCAACGCGCCACTCGGCCAGCCCTTTGTCAAGGTTCTTGGTGTGTTTTACACCGGAGGCTCTGGCTTATATCTGTCTTTGGAGGGTGGAATCCTCTCTCCCAGATGCAAAGCCATAGGGGCCAGTGTCCTTATCACAAAGTGCATGTCCACCATCGACATCACATATGAAACTATCAAATATCCCAGAATCTATTTCTGAATTCTCTAGGCTACTTCCCTGCCCCCCACCTTGTAGTGTCTTCTGACACTGGGTAAGCTTGTCCTATAGGGGGTGGTTTGGATGCTTCTCTTGAGGGGCTGGAATCCTCTACTCCCCATCCCCATCCCCAGGCCCCGATGGTCATGAACCAGGTGCCCCAAGACTGGAGTCCACCTCAATTAGAATCCAGGGTCATCCAGTCCAGGGGCACACTTAGAACCCAACCACATAATAAAAATAGTAATGGTCCTATTAATGATAATAATAATAGTGATGATAGTATAATAATGCAGATCCCAATAATGATAAAGAAGAAAGGGGAGAGGAAGGAAGAGAAGGGAAGACGAGAGGAGGAAGGGGAGGAGAAGTAAGGGAGACCAACTAGACCTCACTCACCCCGTTTTCCAATTGGAGAAACTGAGGTCCAGGGCCTGGCAGCGCCTGTGGAAGCCCCCAGCCCCTGCTCTCGCCTCCACAGAGTCTGCTCTCGCCAGCATCTGCCTGTGAAACCACATTAATCAGTCAGCACTGATGGGGCCCCTAGGGACCTTGGAGGCCACTACAGGACACACTTACCGAGTGTCAAAAGACACTACAAGGTGGGGAGCAGGGGTAGCCTGGAGAATTCAGAAATAGATTCTGAGATATTTGGTAGTTTCATATGTGATGTAGACGGTGGACTTGCACTTTGTGATAAGGACACTGGCCCCTATGGCTTTGCATCTGGGAGACAGGACTCCACCCTCCAAAGAGGTCAGAGGGGCCAGCAATGGACACCACCCTCACCCGCCACTCCCAGCGGTCGCGTTGCCCACGTCCTCTGTGCCCACGTTATAAATAGCCTCATGCATGTGACCAGGAGCTCGCGGGGTGGGGGTGGGGGGGTGGAAGGGCG